TAGTCCTAAGAAGGAAATTTACAGCTCTAAGTGCCTATATTAAAAAATTGGAAAGAGCCCAAATAAATGACCTAACCCTGCAACTCAAGGCACTGGAAAGGCAAGAACAAATGAAACCCAAACCCAGCAGAAGAGAAGAAATAACAAAATCAGAGCAGAAATTAATGAAATAGAAACAAAGAAAACAAGACAAAGAATCAACGAATCTAAGAGCTGGTTCTTTGAAAAGCTAAACTTGTGCTGCCTCTATGGAAAACAGTGTGGAGAACTCTTAAAAAAACTAAAAATGAACCTACCATATGACCCGGTTATACCACTCCTTGGCATATAACCAAAGGACTCAACCTATTGTAGAGACACTTGTACATCCATGTTTGTTGCTGCTCTTTTCAAAATAGCTAAGATACAGAAGCAACCTAAGTGTCCCTCAACTGATGGGTGATTAACAAAAATGTGGTATATTTACACAATGGAGTTCTATTCAGCAGTAAAGAAAGGTGAAATAATGAAATCTGCTGGTAAATGGATGGATCTAGAAACTGTTATACTAACTGAAGTAACACAGACTCAGAAAAACTAATGGCGAATGTTCTCCCTCATATGTGTATCCTAGCACCAAACCCTTTTAAATTCCAGGTCCTTTTAATAAGATGATGCTATACAAAAGTCCCTTCTGCATGAAGTAACTACCAGCATCACGACTTCGGCTGAGCCTGATCGCTAAACAGAGTCACAATTGGGCTGGTTGACGGTTGTGCTCATTCATTAAAGGAGTGCCAAGCAGAATCACTGGACCCTCACCTGGGTATCCAGCCACTCTTCTCGGCCAACTAGTCCAGCCTTGGAAAACAAAAGAAAAATGGGGAAGAACCCAATAGAGGGATGCTTTTGGAAGCCCTTGTCAAGAAACTCCAATGGACTTTCATATAAACATTTGAAAATTGCCTTGTTCTGACATTTTTCTAGTTCCCTGTCTAGAACTCATAATGCTAATTACTCTTGCCTATACTTCTCCTTCACATCTCCTATTCACCAGTCAAGGACTTTCTTCCTCCCCTAGAGACGAAAGTTATGCAATTTGGGAATCTTTTAGATAATTGCCTCACCCTGCATCCCTGTTCAGCATGGAAGAAGCCAGAGCAGTT